CAGAATAATATTTCACTCAGATATGAATACTAGGTCTCGATGTTTTCAGATTGTTCCATTGATGAAAATTTCTCCCCTCGCACCACCTCCAACGAACAGAACGTAAACAGCTGATATGATATGTAGGATTACAATATGGCTGAAACGTCAGCCCGAAGTAAGAGAGTTTACATTGTATAGACCCATTAGGCACTTGCGCCCAAAGAGTATTACTTGCGTCGAGATATACCGCTCGAGGCGCTTCTACCGCCAAAGAACTGAATGTCTAAAATGACGTCCCAAAGTTAGGCGATAAAATATTGGGTGGGAAGTTCAGAAGTTCACACAAAAATTTCCTAAAGCTTAGAAAGTTTTTGGTTATGTTGTGCGATTGCTGAGGTTTTTGTTTCTTTTCACGTTTGTATTGACAATGATATTTGCTTCCTGTCGATTTGTTTAGGTTCTAGCTCGCCTCCTGTTCACATACATGACTTAAAGAATCATTATTCTATCATAGGCCTGTAGCTATGAAGTCCCTGTCTTTTCGTTTACAATCAGGGGCGGATGCAGATACTATTTTTTTGAGGGGGAGGGAATTTATATTCTAGAAAGAGGAGAGAGAGAGAGAGAGTTCCAGGTAGATTTATGGCAAAGTTGCTGATTTCGATGACAAAGCCAAGATTGCAGCGAAGAATCTTCAAAAGGGTCGTTTAGATAATAAGCGGAAAACAACTTAAACAAAAATATTGTAGCAAGGCCAAGTTGTGTGTAATACTACGGCAATATCAAGATAGATAAAGAATTGTTTATAGAGATTCAATGTCCATTAAACAGTTTAAAATTAGGAAAAGATAGAGGAACATTATTTAACATCAAAACTAATTAGAAATTAAAATACAAAGTGTGGCAGACGACATTTAATATCGCTGGCAATACAGTAAACGAAATTTACAAGTTTTTTTTAAATTTTATGACCAAGAGTACTAATAAATATTTCCTAACTAAATAAAATTATTCACTAACCGAATCCTCGTATGAGCGGTGTTTTCTAGCGCACGAAGAAAAGAACACCCTGACAAAGCGTAAGAATGCTGACGCCCAAAATTTAACTAAAAACCAGAGCTAGCCACTCCATTTAGTTAGACATATTAAGAGAAATTATAAGGGCAAATTGTGAATTACCGCAATAGCACAATCAAAGACAGTCAAAATAAATAAATAAATCGGGGAAAGTAATTATAGGAAAATACAATAAAATGTATTGTAAATTTAATGATTATAAAAGTGAGAGAATAATGATACAAAACAATATATATATATACATATATATATATATATA